CCTGGTGATTATATATGCCCAACCTGCGATCGCAGCTGTGTATCAAGGATTGGCCTCTTTAGTCACACAAGAAGTTGCAAAGGGAAAAGATCGTCTCTCGAGACTTAAAATGCCACAGATATTGGTTTGTTTTATCTTCTGTTTATCTCCTGGTATTCTTTGCTTTGTTTGTTTTATCTTCTGTTTATCTCCTGGTATTCTTTGCTTTGTTTGTTTTATCTTCTGTTTATCTCCCGGTATTCTTAGCTTTGTTTGTCTTATCTTCTGTTTATGTCCTAATATTCTTTGCTTTGTTTTATCTTCTGTTTATCTCCTGGTATTCTTTACTTTGTTTGTTTTATCTTCTGTTTATCTCCCAGTATTCTTTACTTTGTTTGTTTTATCTTCTGTTTATCTCCTGGTATTCTTTGCTTTGTTTGTTTTATCTTCTGTTTATCTCCTGGTATTCTTAGCTTTGTTTGTTTTATCTTCTGTTTATCTCCTGGTATTCTTTGCTTTGTTTGTTTTATCTTCTGTTTATCTCCTGGTATTCTTAGCTTTGTTTGTTTTATCTTCTGTTTATCTCCTGGTATTCTTTGCTTTGTTTAACCAGTCCTTCTCATTCCTTACTTGACTACTGTTGATTGTAGTCTCAAAATATTCATGTCCTAATTTTAATTTCTTGTTCTCTTACTAGAGATTGCTGGACTTGTTGCAACAGGGTCAGAAGAAAGCAACTCACTATACAGAGCACACAAACTGGGTGACTGCTGGATTCTCTTTGATATTTGCTGCGCTATGTTTTTCTAGAATCATAGCAGTTTACCAAGGTAATGTTGAAACTGTTTTCAACAAGGAATAAGAAGTCTTCTCTAACTTGTGTTACATTGCCTCTTATTTCAATGTTGACTTAGAAAATCTGTAAAAAAATCTAAGTTAGAAAATCTGTAAAAATCTAAGTAATGGGCAACTCAAAATATCCTGATATTAACATACATGTTGACTTGAATGTATTATCATTTTCTGTTTTTTGAAAAATTGTACATTGTTTATATGAAATATTTGTTTAGCAACAACTGCAAAAAGATGTCATTGACATTCTCACATCACTTTGACAACAGATCATAAATATTTATTCCCTTTGCTTTAGTTTTATATATAACCCCAGAAATAATTTTATATCAGAGAAGTTTTCTTTTACCTTGGCTGTATTTGGCATTTTTGATGCATAATCTTTACCTTACTGTTGGTTTACTTGTAAAATCCTAGCATTTAAATACAAAGGACATAACTCTCAGCACAGTTGACATTTACTAAAAACCAGTAGTGAATATAAATAAGTATGGCTCATTCTGACTTGGAAGACACTGAATGTGCCCAGATGAGTTGGGTTTTGGTTTCGTCTTGAGACGGGGTAGAAACTGATATGACTAATCAAGCCAATTCTGGAGTGGCAGAGTTTGTCACAGTCCATGCATGTATATGCATCTGTTTTAGGGCTAGCTGATAGGGCAGCTTTCTTTTTTTTCTCTTGATTAAGGCAGTTTCGTTTCTTTTACTCTCAGTGAGGTTTGTACCAGCTTGCACAGTCTATCTCCATGCTGTCCAATCTTTGGTTCATGCCTATGGTTCTCATGTCTCGCTTGCTGACATCTCTATAGGTTGTCTTGGGTCGGGCTCCCTCTGCAAGGAGGCATCATGTCTCCAATCAGGACATTTTTAATTTGGCCATTTTGGACATGTCAGATGGCATGCCAGACGGAAGAATCCCTAAAGACTTCCTACATGCTGAACTTGCAGAGGGGGTATTAAATAATGCATCATTATAATTTCACAATTTTTCAATGTTCTCCTCATGACTTAGGTTATCACGCTCCATTGGATATCTATGTTGAACTGCACAGAGTGGCTGCTGATTCCAAGATCCACACTCTAGCCCCAGACAAGCCAGTTAATGTTTGTGTTGGTAAGGAGTGGTACAGGTTTCCAAGCTCATTTTTCCTGCCTAATCGCAAGTGAGTTAATACATATATTATAAGCAGACTTCACTTATAGAATAAGTAGTAGTCACACACAAAAAAACTCTACTAATTGAAGCTTGAATTTTAAATATAGCTTAAATTAGATGACTAGCTTTTGGTGAAAGCCTTTTTTGAGTGTCTTTAAAAGCTCTTTTTATTCTGTTATTCTGTTCCATTAATTCAGTGTTATTTACAGCATCATTGCTGAGATTTTGATAACTCTTCATCATCAATGTATATATACATATATATATATATATGCTGATATTTATTCATACATTTTAAATTGGGACTGTAATACGTTTCAGTTGGCATTTGCAATTTTTAAAGTCTGAATTTCAAGGGCTGTTACCCAAGCCATATGAATCAGGACCAGATGCAACAAGAATTATTCCCTCCCACATGAATGATATGAATAGAGAAGAACCATCTCGATATGTAAGTAGAATCTCATTGTTATGGACATTTTATACACATTTGTATGAATTGTTTGTGCTGCTAGCTGACATAAAAGAGAGCATCTGGTTACATGCGACCTCAGAACGTAATGCACAAATTGTAAGACAAATTTCCATACGGATAATAAAGATTATTATTATTTTTATTATTATTATTTAAGATAGCTTTGAGCTAGCTTTGACTTGGTTGATTTTGATATTATTTAGTGGCTCATTGTCACATAGAAATAATGATGATATCAATTATCATGAAATCATTATTAAACTGTATTGAATCTTAAGACATACAACACATTTTTCAGCATTAACAACACAATCATTAAAATCTATTCCAAGCATGCAGTTGTAAATTTAATGATTTCATTTCACAAATTCAGTTGGAAGTTGTTGCTGAGATTGACATCTAATTGCTGAATATCTTTTCATCAGGTTGATGTGAAGCGTTGCCATTATCTAATAGACAGAGACACTGAAGACTGGACAGCTTTAGAACCACATTACAGTGCAAGTAAAGACTGGACTGTGGTCAAGCAAGTACCATTCCTAGATGCCAGTAGGTCAGTCAGATGACTTAGTTGACTAACATAAACTAAGTCATTTTGTGATTTTTAAATTTTTTTTGGTGTTCTTGTCTAATTCTGAAATAAAAAAAATGTTTGCTAAAAGGCTTTTCAAACTAACAGCACTTGTTCACAACTAAAGAGCTAATTTTCTGCCTGAAACTTTATATATTTAACTACAAGTAAGTTACAATAAAAACAATACAAAATACATTTTTAAAAAGACAATACCTCCATTATGTAATTTAAAATGTAATAAAATATTTAAAAAAAAATAAAAAAATATATGGTTCAAACCGGATATCAAACTCGTGATTTTGACACCGTCAGACAGTCAGATGTGTGAACGTATGTATTTATCAATTTAGCAAGAGGGACATCAAGATCTAATACTAGACTATACACCTTGAAGTGAGTTGAATAGAGGTATTGTGAAAACAAAATCTTGCTATATCACAATTTGGAGGACAGACTTTTTCTGGTTGGATACAAAAACAAGAAATTCATCTCTACCATTTGTGAGATATTACTCTTTGCGACAATTCTAACAATGTTCAAGTGCTCTCTTTAAGCCTTAAGTTAGTAAGATACATTCTTTCTCAATCCTTTTTTACAATAGAAACCTTTACTGCTTTGTAAAGTATGTCTTCTAAATAAAAAAACAACCTGATTTAGTTTTTGAGGTAGGGGATATAATGTTGGAATGGGTATCAAATATATCCTTAAGAACTTTCAGGCACATCTCACTAAGGAATCCCTTGTTTGTTACAATTACTTGTATCAAACAAGAGAATCAAACAAATCCTCCTGTTTTTCTCTTCTGCAGGTCACATCGTGTGTTTCGAGCTTTCTTCATTCCATTCCTCTCCACAGACCATTGTACATTTACCTCCTACAGTCTTCTGAAGACAACCAGAAGTAAAAAACATTCCAAGCAGAGATCCTGAGATTTGACTGACAGTTGACTCGAACGGTTCGGGGGTCTCCTGGCAAGCAAATTAACTTTGTCAAATTATTGCATCACAGCCTGTGTTTTATTGTTTTTCTTTTTTCAGAAGTTGCCACTGTACCAGAACTGGAGTCAAGAAGTTGAAGCTCAAAATGTATTTTAAGTTGCAATCCTAACCAACCATGACATATATATAGTCATTATGTCATATTCAAGGCAATTCAGCTGCCAAACATAAATCATTCAGTTCACACAGGTCATTTATTCTTTATCTAATGTGTAACCTTTGACTTATGTCTTACATCGTTTTTGGACATTAAAAAACAGTTTGCTTTTTCCAGATGACCCCCAAGACATGTTCTGAATTGTTTAATGTAGCGAAATGATAGGATGCTGATGTTTCTACATGCTAAATAGTCCTTTAGGTTGTGGTTTATGTGGATAGCAGAGTTGTAGTTAAATTCTATTTGAGTTTGAATGTTTGTGCATAAATGGGTTACTAGTATTTAAAGGTTTTGAAAGGTTCTTGTCATTTAATAAATCATGATATTAAGATGAATTCACATTTCTTGACCAATGATGTGTTGGCCCACTAGTGTGTATTCGCTTGACTGTTAGCCTACTAGTGCAAGGAGAGTTAATACAAATTGGGTGAGCTGGATGCTAAAGAATATTTATAATTTAATCATATTCCTTTAAGAGTAAGATTATACTAAGTATTTATTCATATGATCTTTTTGTGTGTGTGTGTGTTAAAAAATATGCAAAGCTTTAGTTAGCTGATTTTACTAATGAACGATGAATTATTTTTTTTGTCTTGTATTTTGAGTTTCTAGTTGGATCTTACTTTTGTAGTCAATATTAGTTTCTAGTTGGATCTTACTTTTGTAGTCAATATTAGTTTCTAGTTGGATCTTACTTTTGTAGTCAATATTAGTTTCTAGTTGGATCTTACTTTTGTAGTCAATATTAGTTTCTAGTTGGATCTTACTTTTGTAGTCAATATTAGTTTCTAGTTGGATCTTACTTTTGTAGTCAATATTAGTTTCTAGTTGGATCTTACTTTTGTAGTCAATATTAGTGCCTTGTTTTCTTTGCCTCTTCTTTAATGATAGCCACATTGATAATGTTTGATTCTTCTATCCTATTGCCTTATAAGAGATGTTTGGGGGGAGACCTTCATTTTATGAACCAGACATGGATCCCTGGGTCAGGGAGTGAAAAGCAAACCAAGGTCTAGGCCATCATTTCTCATGCTGATGGATATCACACACAATCTTAGAATAATCTTGCTCCTAAAGGACAGATGGGTTGAGCTAAATCAATGGGTTCTTAGGTGAACAGTTTAAAAAAAAAAGCAATATATGTTTCAATATTTAATCTTCAATGTATTTATGCATGTCTGTAATTGTTGTTTTTTTTAAAAATAAAATGCATAGCCCATAAATTTACACATGGAAGTAGTTAATGTTACATTTTGTTGAATATTTTAAGTTGAATGTTATATCTGGTTATGAGCAGCAAAGTTTTTGTAAATGTATGCAGTACTGACTGCATCATTGATGTATTCTGATTGGAATTTAGAATGTTATGTTTTTTGCAATGTTATGTTGTGTGCCATGTTTTGTTATATGTAAACATTCTAGCTGTCGTACTAGAATTGGCAAGTATTATTTTCTTGGTTATGATTGGAATATTGTTTTTTTATGTTATTATTTTCCATTAACTTCAGTAGTCTTCCATGTCTATAACTGGCTCAGTAAGTCGTTAGTTTTACTGTATTGTTGGTTAACTATCCTCTGACATTGAAACCAGGAGACTCAAATAAATGTTATGATGTTCTAAAACATGTTGGACTTTGTCAGGGATGAAAGTGACTTGATGGCACAGTGTCTCCCCTCCACACCCCAGTCATTTGTACATGCAACACAAAGTTAAAATGTGGGTTTACAATTTACAAATAGCTGTGGCAAAATGTTGGTCATACCCTGAAATAATTTTGGTTTCAATATTAGTCAAACCAAGACCAAAATACTATTTCAAAATACATGCAATGCGCTTCACTCAACTATTAAACGCCAACCACTGGAAATGTTTACCAATTTTTGTAATTTTGGAGCGAATCATTTCCAACGATTTTCTACTGGACAAAGACATCAACAACAGGATAGCTAAGACAAAAGGGCGCCATGTCACGGCTGCAGAAAAGAGTGAAGGAAAATACTTTGCTATCAATACCGAAGACCTAGTCTACCGATGAGCATTCTGCTGTATGGTTTTAAAGCATGGTCCACCATCTTCCACCTTCAATGCTTGAGGCGGATTCATAAAATAAATCGGCAAGGTAAAATAACCAGCGAGGAAGTCTTGTGAAGAGCAGGGTGCCAGGGCATCCGCTCTGTTATCAGCTGACTTGGTGGCATGTTCACAGAATGCCGCAAGGTCGACTCCAACTAGGTATTGTGTATGGTGATCTAACAGAAGACACAAGAGCTGCAGGTCGCTCACTTTTTAAGGTAGAGGTAGACTTTTTCTGATGCATGGACGCGCGACACGAAACTCTTCAATTACGACAATGCGATAGATCCACGTGGAGAGCAAGCATACATGAAGATACCCACTAGTATCCTTGATGACACCAGAAGAAAGAAAGAAAGCTGAAAATGCTGCTGTGTCTGGTGATTACAGATACGCAGCCTTTTACCAAAAGGGAAAAGACCAACTCGAGACGTAAAATGCCACAGGCAGAGCTTGAAATAATAATAATGGCAATATCTACGATTTCGAATATTAATGATATATATATATATGGCTCCTTTTGTCTCGAAAGGCAATGGATGCGCCCAGATGAGTCACTGGTTTTGGTTTAATCTTGAAACGGGGCAGAATCTGGTGTGGCTAATCAAGCCAATTCTAGAGCGGCAGACTTGGCCACAATTCATACATGTGTATGCCTCTGATTCAGGGCTGACGGGCAGGGCATCTTTCTTTTTTCCCCTCTTGATTAAGGCCAGTTCAATTCTTTTGCTCTCAGCGAGGGTTATCCCAGCACGCACAGTCAGTCTCCATGCACTCCGGTCTTTGGCTATGTTTTACCACATACTTTCGCTGATGCCTGTGGCTCTCATGTCTCGCTTGCAGACATCTCTATATGTTAGTCTTGGGCGGCCCTTGGGTCTGACTCCTTCCACAAGCTCAGCATATAAGATACTTTTGGGATTCTACCATCTGGCATGCGGATTATTGATGATTTCTGTAAGCTCGTAGTTTATGGCTGTAAAAATGGAATGCTTACTTTTGGTTGCAGGAAGAAGAATTCATCACTACATAAAACCAACAATTGCAAAGGTTGGCGTCTGCACTGTGAGACTTGTATTTCTTGAAGAAGCTTAGTTGAAAAGTTAAAGCATCGTCACATGGGCCCTTTATGGGAAGTGGTCTGCTTTAGCATTTCGCTCTTGATAACTAAGAACCCATTTTAGATTGTTGAACTGCAGACATAGCAAATACGTATTGTTGTTTTGTTGTACTGCTAGATATCAGCCTTATAGAACAACTCCGAGACATGTTACACTATGTTCGATTTCCAACGTAAAGGATAAGTGCAGTGATTCACGTGACCACGAGACTGCATACTTTGCACACATCCAAAGTCGTTGTCCGCCGGGGGCCAATGTAGGTTTTCTTTTCGTCGTCTGCGCGTGTCTAAGGTAAGGACTTCTTTGGATCTCAAATGTGTGTCCTTCGACATTCATGAGAGCTCCCAATCCTTTAAGCCACTAAGGGCAAACGGGCGCCTGATTTGATATTTACATCGCTTCAGTGGTACACCTCTATTACGACGGCACCTTTATGTGTGTCAAAAATAGATCGCCCTCGGCACACCGTCATTTCCCGTATGGATGAGCTGCCGAATGATAAGTAGTGTTAGAGTGTTTCTATACTGTCAACCCAAGGTTCTAGCCCATTATGGTGTGAAGGCACATCTGATAAAATCGCCCGTCGAGAAACCCTAGATGCCTCTTATAGAGCACCCAGGCTCAGATCAATATAAAAGTGTGTTGAGAACCACTGCTTTATAAACATATTTTTGTCCCAATTTTTTTTTTAAATTTCGCCCAAGCTTTACGCGTTGAATTCAAATACATGAACCACTTCCTACTGTTATTTGTGCATTCAAAGGAACGAAACAAGTGAAAGAGTAAGACAAGAAATACAAAGTCAAACTCGCTTTAGATGTTATATTTTAAATTCCTTTAAAAGATGAAAACGTTGTATCTAAACGTATCAAACTTCACTTAGCAACATTTATAGCCTTCTAAAATAGTGTCGTGATGTTTAATTTTTATTGATCAATTCTTACACTTAAATGATAACAGGGGCATACAGGTTTCATGTATAAACTAACGCAAGTCTTCTTTACTCCAGACATTGCCTACTGTAGAACTTTATTAACAAAAAATATCTGGGGTAAGTTTCAAAAAGTAAACCAGCGCTTTTTTTTTTTTTTATGACGTGGTACAACAATCACACAAGTAAGATACACACTGACTTAACACGCGCTGGTTCTTGCAACACACTGACTTTACACGCCTGGTTCTTGCAACACACTGACTTTACACGCCTGGTTCTTGCAACACACTGACTTCACACGCGCTGGTTCTTGCAACACACTGACTTCACACGCGCTGGTTCTTGCAACACACTGACTTCACACGCGCTGGTTCTTGCAACACACTGACTTCACACGCGCTGGTTCTTGCAACACACTGACTTCACACGCGCTGGTTCTTGCAACACACTGACTTCACACGCGCTGGTTCTTGCAACACACTGACTTCACACGCGCTGGTTCTTGCAACACACTGACTTCACACGCGCTGGTTCTTGCAACACACTGACTTCACACGCGCTGGTTCTTGCAACACACTGACTTAACACGCGCTGGTTCTTGCAACCTCTCTGGTTCAATTAACACACCCTGGTTCAAATAAACATGTGCTGCTTCAATTAACACGCTGAATCAATCATAGTACATTAAAAAAAATATAATAACGTTCAGTGCCTTAGGAATTTTAAGTTAACCTTGCAAATACATTTAGGTTTCTACTGTATACAATAAATTATTAACAGAGTGTTGTTCCCGAGCAAATAAAAACAATAGTGGATGATTTTTAGAATTGTACGTTCTTTGTCAAAAGTGATGTCCACATGTGTAGCTTCTATAATTCTTTCTCAGTAAGACGTTCTGTTTTCAGTTTGTAATTAATTTAGTAGCCAAAATGGTTCCATTTAAATGTAAATATATTTCTTGTAAAAAAAAATAAATAAAGATACGTATACAGCTAATAGTTTAAGCTATAAAGTCATTTAAATGTGGCTTCCAAAAAAAACACGAAGATCTGATAGCAAGCACTAGTCCTTAGTTTCCAAGGGGAGCTTACACACGTTGAATTGCACATGTTAGAATCAGTCCATCCTTTAGCTCCCCTGAAAAGGGACGCTGAGCAGAAGTGCGTTATTAATGTGATTGAGCTATTTCAAAGCCAAGACAAGTTGAGATGACCAGGATACCCACAGACGCCACTAAAACAAAGGAATCAAAGAGTTAACATATTAGAATCATTCATAATTAATTATGTTGATCCTTTGAAAATACTGGGCTTTATCCGGGAGGTGGGGTTGACTACTAAAATCCTGGTATTTGGGTCAATCAAGAAAATGAAAGAATAAATCTTGGTATAAAAGAACGAATAGAGGTTGGTGGAAACGAAAGTATGGATCTTAGTGGAAGTTTGGAAATGAAAGTATGGATATTGGTGTAAATTTTAAGAATGGATCTTAGTGGAAATGAAAGAATGGATCTTGGTGGAAATGAAAAAATGGATCTTGGTGGAAATGAAAAAAATGGATCTTGGTGGAAATGAAAAAAATGGATCTTGGTGGAAATGAAAAAATGGATCTTGGTGGAAATGAAAAAATGGATCTTGGTGGAAATGAAAGATCTTGGTAGAAAATCATGATGCACAACTAGCAGACGTCTTGATAGATGAGGAGAAGGAATCTAAAAAAAATTATTTTCAAGGTTACCTAACTGTCATTATATCCACGAACTGGGGCGGGGGGGGGGGGGGGGGGGGGAGGCTAAGGGTAGGAAAAAAACACAAATCAAAGAAACTTCTTAGTAGAAAAAAACCCCGAGCCCTGTTCCCTCAGGTAATACCAAAATCTAATACACTTTTATTTCCAATACCATAAATATTTAAGATTTGACCGGCTTACATATGAACCATGTAAGTAAACAATAAATGTAAAAAACAAAAAAACAACAACAAATAAACAACAACAACAACGCTGGGTGTGTTTAGGTTTAAGTGAAGTTCTCACCCAACGCTTATTACAAAGCTTATATCAACTCACTCTGTCTGTCTGGTTAAAAGTTTGTACATGTAATTTCTCAGACACCCAATCTCGGATCAAGCTGAAATTTTGCACAATTATTTCTTTCATCTGGCAACACAATAATTAATAAAACAACCAGTTACTTCATTAACTATTGGTAATTATGGTATCTCGAACAAGGGTATAAGCTATATTAGTCCCCTTTATAGATCGCCACTTTATAGTAAGCTTGAAACAAACAATAGATAACCATATAATCTTCTATTTTTAAAAGCACTTCACTAGCAGAGTGGTTAATATGTCGGCTTGGGCCATGAGTTCGAATCTAAATCTAAAAATCTAAACCACAACAACAACATCAAAGAAAGTTGCAGAGCGAGTTCGTGTAAGCTTTCTAAAATAAGAGTCAGCTTGAACATTGCGAATGTTAGTTAAATCTTAGACAA